CCCACAATAGCTTAGCACCTCATCCCAGCAAGAGGCAGTGCCCTCCCTCTGTGCGGTTTGGTGATGGGGCAAATTTGCGGATAATGCACACAGAACCAACAAACCTTTCAACCCGGTATGACCCCAAAACACATGCACCCAAGCAAAGTCTCAGGAAGCTCCTCTAACAGCCCCAGCCCCAGGAACCCACAACAGCAGCCGCATCTCACCTCTTACAAGTACACAAGACTTCAGAAAGCCCTGACCTGTAAAGCAGGGGCTGTACCCAACACTGCGGTCAAGCCCCAGCATTCCGACTTAATGGAATTATCTTCATGCCAGAAGCCAGCTGCAAGCCCTAGAAACAACTAGGGAAAACTAACACACCTCCAGCTACAAGTGGCTGTAAAAAATCGCAGGCACCAGAGGCAAAATGTCCCTGCTTACAGGGACGCTGTTCAATCCTTCCATCGATGGATGGGCACGTTGTGCTTGGTGGTGTACCTCAACACAAAGCCAGCCTTAGCAACAAAAGAAAAGTTTTTCCTCAAAGCAAATGGGAGGAGGAAACACAGAGCCACCCTGTGGGGCGCGCCGACACTGGAGTAGGGAGGAAGGAGGGGCAGAGACCAGTTTCTGCCATGTTTGTCAACACAGTGAAAGGAGGAAAAGAAACTATGTTTTTGACCTTCCTGCTTTGTGCAGTCAGAGCTGCTGAGTTCCTCAGAGGGAACTCTCACCTGGCTCCCATCCAGCAGCACCCTGGGGAGCCAAGAAAAGGATTTTCCCACCAAGAAGAGGAGTGGGGCAGCCCAGGCCTGTGTATACTGGATAGACCCCACTGGAGCAGCAGGTACTGGATTGTTTCCAGCAGAGCACTGGGTGGCTGTGGAAACCAGGCATTCCTGGGCAGCAAAGCCACCAGGTCTGTGCAACAACACCCTGGTCACTGCTGGACCTGTGGCACAATGGCCACCTGCACCTGGCCATGGCTACCAGGCTCTGCTGTACTCCGTGCTCTGTCAGCAAGGAGCAGTGGGTGGCTCAGCCTCACAGCAGGATCTGACCCCGTGAAGCCCCCGTTCTCTGTGTTCCCATCCAGGAAAGGGCTTCCCAGCTTTGTCCTTGCAGCTGCCATGGGAACTGTTATGGTTTGTGCAGCACTAGGGCCCCATCTCTGCCTGGGAAGGAGAGACCAAGCAAAGCCCAGCCCTGGTATCAGAGTGGTCCACAGAGTCCCTCCCAATTTGCTACTGCCTGGGGCAGGAATCATCCTCTCTGCAGCCCTGACTCTAAACCACATCAAAGGTTTCTGTGACACCATCAGACAGCAGTGAAAAACAAACAAAATACCTGGCACCACTCCCCTGAGGTGCTCGAGCCAGGACGGGCAGTGCCCAGTTACCCAAGTGAAGCAGTCTTGGCACTGAGGCTTCACTCTGATTTTACAGGTGGGATATCTGGAGGTTTCATTGATTTTACAGGTGGGATATTTTCCCTCCAGCTCTAGAAGCAAACAGCTTTCACTGTATTTTATAAAGCTTCCGGCCCTTCTCAACACACGAGGAGCAGCGGGGCAGCCCCGGGAGCAGCCGGCTCTGCTGTCCCTCCATCGCTGGCGCCAGAGCGCAGGAAGCCACTGCTGGAGCAGGGAGGAGGCAAAGCTGCGTCACCACATCCACAGCACTAGGGCGGGGGAGAGTCGAAAACCAGGATCTGCCGATTTTAGACAAACAAACGTCGAACCGAAAAGCCCCGAGTTTCGGTTTCCATTCCTGCAGCGACACGGCCGACAGTCACGGAGCGGTTTCCCCAGGAAACCATCGCTGCTGGTCCCCACCCCAGCGCCAGACACGCTGCCCTTTGTGCGCTGCACACCTCCCCGCTTGTTCGAGGAAGTTGCTGGGAGCTAGGAGAGCCTTCCCGTGAGGATGCTGGAGCATCTCTGTCCCGGTAACAGCCCTAACCTGCCCAGAGAGACGAAGAGAGTGAGGAATTGGTGATTTCTCACAGCCCCCGCTCCCTAGCACCCCACAGGCAGCTGCCAGGCAGGACCGTAGCAAGGCTCTGCCTCTGTTCTCCCCCAAATACTGCAGTCTGCTCCTGCGGAATACCTGGAGGAGAAAATGCAAGTGGCTGAGTCTCCATCACCACAAAATCCAGGCAAAAACATGAGTCATCTGCAACCCTTACGTAATTTTGTCTCTGGGTGCAAGTCCTCTACACCTGGCTGTGAGCGGAGCAGCCCTGGGCTCCCCACGGGAGAAAAGGGGAGCAGATCTCAGCCTGAGCACCCAAGGGACCCCAGAAATGCATTGCCGGCAGCACCAGGCTGGTAGAACGGGTTCTGAGAGCCCCAGCCCTGCCCAGGGACCCCAGACTCACAGAGCAGATTGACCCACTGGGATCCACAGCCATGTCCCAGTTGTGGGGTGCACGACACCCACTGCAGCCTTGGGAGCCCACAGTGGTGGGTGCAGCCCCCTGGGGCGGGCTTGGGGGCTCCCTCTGCAGAGCCCCAGGTCTCTGTGCTGCGGGAAGGGAGAGCTGATCCACAGGTGGGACGTGCTCTCCACGAGCAGCGCTTCACCTGCTGAAACCAGGGCTGCAAGACCAGGATCTGCTGCCACACTCGCACGGGACTTCCCCCCGGCCAGGGAATGCTACCCAATCGCCCACAGTCGCATCCAGCCCAAGGCCACTCATCCAGACACTGATAATCTCTGCATACATCTCGCTGCAGACAATTTCCCTTTTTTGCTTTTCCTTCTCAGCCCTCATCCTACCGCGAGCTGCTGATTCTGCAAGCCCCCAGCTGCCCTCGGCCGGGCTGGAGCAGCACAGACACCCCAGGAGTGGAGCACATCACCGGGGCATCCCTGAACGTCCCAGGTGGTCTCTCAAGGGAGGCAGGGCTGCCCCACCGGCACCTCCCTGGCTGGCTGCCAGCAAAGCTGCTGCAAAGGGAGGGAAGAATTGCACCAGCCCAAATCTGCCGGCCGAGCTTTTATTGCTTGGGGAGCTGTTTACATCCCAAGGAAGACCTGCTTTGCAGGGTAAAGTACACCCACGCTGAAAATGCTTTGCCGGTGAGGTGATCAGTATTCTCCAGGGCAGGTAAAGGTGCACGGAACCAGAGAAGAGCTGCTGGCTCCCGATTGCTCTGCCCCAGCCCTTGCTGCCCACTGCTGCACTACACCAACACAGAACTGACACAAATCCTGACCCATCCTACGCTCTGATATCACCTCTCAGACACCTTTAAAGAGGAGCCAGGAGGTCTCTCAGGCTGTCCTTTTCCACCCGAACATTCCCTCTCTCACAATTCCTGGATAACCCAGACAAGTCTGGCCACAGCAGAGATGGCTGGAATAGTATGCTCAGCCCACAGCTCTCCAGGGCTGGGCAAAGACACCATAGCTTTCCAGCCCTGGCACTGCTGGAGAAAGGTGTCCCTGTGTGGCAGAGGGACATTCACTCACCCTTGCAGCACAGGGGGGAATTCAGGCTGGAAAAACACTTCAGGTGTGGCTCAGCACTGCTGCTCACGCTGGGAAGGCAAAAGGCAACTCAGGGTGATCCCTTTATATGTCCTCGGTTTGACACGCTACTGCTGTCCCAAGTACAGAGATATGACAGCGATATCTTAGCAGCAGCCAGCTGGGAGGGAAAAACCTCTGATAAGGCAGGACTCCTCCTCACGAACTGTGGCCTCAGCTGAGTCTCGGCCAAAGCGAAACAAAATCTAATGCTTCAGAAGAATAGATCACTTTTCTTCCTGATTACGTGTTAGAACTCTTCTAAACACAGGTTGGGCACCAGTGATTATCAGCACTGGGTGCAGCTGGGCTATGCCAGCCGTGCCATGGACAACCAGACTTTGGAGCTCCATTTCAGGCTCCTTGCATACCCACAGCCAGAGGGAACACAGAGGACATGGACATTTATACTTAATACATTTATACTTAATAGTGTGTTCTTGTCCTGCCTTAGCCTCATTTCACAATCCCAGCTGTCATACCTGGGCATACAAAACACAATAAACCAGCAACATTCTTTCAAAAAAATATTTATTACTCAATAAAGTGACCTGTCGTTGCTGCTGTTGCCAGATCAAGTTTGGAGAAACCCCAACACTCCAAGCACCAGACTCCTTCCAGCCGGAGACAGTGTGAGACACACAGGCCCTGGGATGGGACCTGGTGAGAGTCGCAGCGAGTGGGGCGGCTGAAGGAGAACTGGGGGGGTTGAGCACCCCATTGCAGAACAGCTTCTTGAACCCAGCAGGGTTCAAGGCTCCCACAGAATGCTGGGGGCCAGGGACAGCAGGGTCCCCCCCTTGTGAAGATGTGTGAGCTCCTTGGAGCACGGCCGTGGGGCTCAGCTCTGCACGCTCCGCAGCACGGCTCTGCCATGCAGAACGAGCTTCCCAACCAGGGCTTCGCTTAAAAATCGCCGTTGGCTTAAAAAAAAAATCCCAAGAATGGATTTTTTTCCCTTGTTTTGAGAAAATTAGAAAAAGACCCTAAATCCTCTGAAGTCACAGCTCTTCTCAGCCCTCTGGGTTCGCCTCTTTCTGCTCCTTCCCCAGCAGACCTGGGTAAACCACCATGCCCACTGTCACAACAGCTCCCACTTGTTTCCAAAGCCAGTGTCACACACAAAACTCAACCTCCCAGGGCCTGTGCCCATGCTGCCAGAGCACTTCCTGCTGTCAATGATTGTACAGATCCATGGAATTCCTGCTCTTGGCATCCCTCTCCACTCCTGCAGCCCCCTAGGGATGGGGAGCAGGCAGCTCCCTGCACACCCTCAGCAGCTTCCTTTTGCTGCCTTCTCCCTGCTCCTGTCCATTCCCTCCTGATGGACACTGCTCCAGCTGTGCCTGCTAACGAGGCTGGGCTGATGACCCAGGGGAAGAAAGCTTTATAAAAAAATAAGCTCTTTTTTTCTTCCCTCCTCCAAACAAGGCAGAGCATTTCTGCCTTTCCCTTCTCCGGGCATCCTTCCTCCCCCCTCCTTCCCTCTGACCTGAACCTCCTTGCTTCCAACACGAGCTGCTCTGAGTCTTGTTAGCCCGTGCCCCTCATGACACTGCTTCTCGTCCCACAGCGCAGCCAGAGAAGAGGCAGTTCCCCCCAGAGTGGCACGGCCAGCGTCCCTCCAGGCAAGTCCCCCCTCTCACTTCTGCTCTGCCTCATCAGCCACTGCGGTCACCTCGATGGCGGCGGCAGCGTGCTCATCCCCGGCAGCCTCGGTGGCACCGGACGGGACAGTCACAACCGTGCTCCCACTGGGAGCTATTTGTGTCACATTCTGGATGGTCGTGCCAAGTCCTGGAAGCGTCAGGAGCTGGAAGGGGCTCACCACCTTCACCACAGTGCTGCCGTCCTGGACCGCAGCCGTGCTCAGCACTGTCAGGTTGGAAGCGTCCGGGTGGATTTCCACCGTGCTGGGGAAGGTGGAGCCGGCAGAGGCCAGCACCGTGTACCCCCCCAGCAGAGGGGAGGCTGGGGAGCTCGCAGCAGGGGGCTGGGCTGGGCTCTTCCCCAGCACCGAAGGAGGGAGAGCCGAGACCACTTTGCCGACAGGGAGATTGGCAATCTGGGACACTGGCACGCCAGGGGTGACAGCAAGCTGCGCTGGCTGGGACAGGACTTGGGAGGTGATGGCTGCTGGTCCGGAGGTGGCCCTGGTCAGCCTGGGGCGTTTCAGAGGCGTGGGAACAGAGACGGGTGTGAGGGTCATCAGGACGTTGTTGAGATGCTGCGATTTGTGCTTCAGTTCCTTCGCTCGCTTGCGGTGCTCGTCACACTGCTGCTCCAGAGCTGGAGAGAGAAGAAGTTTGGCTTAGCCTGGATCCTGGACAAGCTTCCCAGAGACCTGTGGCAATGCCCGGTGTGGCTGGTTTAACAAACACCAGCTTTAACACAACCCCCACTTTCTCAGCCCAAAAGAACGACACTGGCTGGATGCCTGGTGTCACACTGGTGTGTCCAGGGCATACCTGCCAAATCCCGTGTGTACTGCTCCCTCGAGCGATCCATCTGGCACTTGTGGCTGGCCAGGACCTTCTTGACCAGATCCAGCATCCCAAAGTTCTGGACTATGTTGTTGAGTAAAACAGCATCTTAAAAACAAGACACAGAATCTTTGAGGAAGCAAAATTCCCTGCACAAGCTATTTGTGGTTTGGCAAAAGCCACACGACAACAAACACGTCCAGCTGAAACAGCCAAAATCTGAGGGAGGGTAATGCAAGAGGCTGGGGAAGACGAGAAGGCAGAAGCCATGAGAAAGGGCAAGAGGTCACTGGCATGTAAACAGTCCTCTCCTGCCTAGCAGGGGTGATAAGAAATCTGCTGGCACAGTAGCTGCTTGCTGCATTGCTATTCCAATGGCCTCAATTCCACCTCAGTTCCCAAGCCAAGCATTTGTCAAGACCCAGAGCCAGCAAAGAGGAAGCTCCAGGCACAAGGAATTGGAGAACTGAGGTCACCTGAATCACCCCCAAGAGGCAGCCTCATCAATCAGCCAGAAATTATATATTTTTTTTATGATGAGCTCTATCCCTATCATGCCATCCAGATATCCCTAAGGATAAAAAAAAAAAACCACAAGCCCCTCTCTCTCTCAAGATGAATGACCACCCATGTCCAGGTCCTTACCCCCAAGCTGCAGTGGGGGATCCTGTGCTCGCTGCTGCAAGCCCTTCATGGTCTCCACCAGCTCCTGGTGGAACTCATGGATCACTTCTTCCAGGAGACCACTGTCCTTAAGACCTTGCCAAAAAGCAAAGGTGTCATCTGGAGAAAGAGGAAGCAAAGGAGAACCTCAAAATCCACAGCAGGGTTTAATGGTAATCTGCTATGGGTTCCCTGCGGACACCCCTGCAGGGGTGCAGTCCTGCCAGGCTGGGAGAGATCCCTCAGCTCACGGGGCTGGAGCAAAGCCCACCCAGAGCACGAACCCAAAGGAGGATACACTCTCCCCACCCCTGTCCCACACCAACAGGACACCTTGCTACAGCCAGCAGCACCAAGGAGAATGATTTCACGACCCCTCCGATAAGAATTTTTTCCCCCTAGAGCCACATTTGTCCCTGGCTTTGATATGTCGGTGCTTGGAAACAACCTCATCCCAAGGCTATGCAGCCAGCCTGCACACCAGTGGGATGTAACACAGTGCTGTGAGCAGCAAAGGAATAATCCCAGTGGAGGCTCGTGCAAGGTTCTTCTGCTAAGAGGGTCCTTCCTGCTCCTTATCCTGCTGCTTCCCTCTTTCCCCGCATCCCCTCCACCCAGCCAGCCCTGCGGGATCCCAAGCCATACCTCCAATGCTGGTGCTCCAATCGCTGGCATCCTCGCATGTTTCTATGGTTATTGTAGCCGGGGATCCGTTCACTGCAACCAATAGCGAAAAAGAAGAGAAAAAAATTCCCAGGTCCTGATCTTTCCCTGTATTTTCACAGGCTGTTTCCAAGGGAAGCACTCCCTTGCTGCATTTCTGTGACTCCTTCATACTGCACAGGATCACATCTGTTTGAATGCAGATCTCAATGATAAACAGAGACCTTAAGTGGTTGCTGTGCCAGCTGTACTTATTTTCCTACATTAGAGTGCAATCTCCAGGGATTGCTCCTGCAACCTTTGCAGCACAAGAACACATGCTTGTGAGCAGCATTTCCCTCCCATTCCCCCCTGCAAACACACCAGCACTGCTCAGGGCAAAAGTCAAACAAATTTAGAGTCTGATTTTTTTGGCAGCCCTTTTTACCCAGCCACCGTTTGTCTGGAGGGTTTCTAAAATCTCCAAGGGAAGAGCAACCCCCCCACTGCACAGGGATGCAGGGGGGATCCCTCCTTCCCTCCAGCTCTGCCAAATCTCAGCAGTTTTGTTACCATAGAGCCAGGGAACAGGCGTCATCCATGCTGTCTGTAGGAGCAGGATGGATGGGAATCTGGCCAGAGCACCACAGAGCTGTGCAGAGCCTTTGGAATGCTCAGTTGCAGCCATTAAATCCAGTCCCTCTGCTCCTTTACTCTGCAGCTTTCAGGGCTCTGGTTATTTCAGCACAGCCCAGCAGCTGGCAAACATCTCCCATTGGTGAGCTCATGTTTAACAGGGGAGCTTGGAGTGGGCTGTGTATCAGCATCAGCTTCCCCACCACAATACCAGGATGTGGTGAATGGGTGCTCTGCAGAGCCAGGAAGGGGCTTATCCTGTCCCAGAGGCACCACCAGGAGCTTGGGGTGTGGGGGACATTGAGAGCTGTTCTTAATACTCAGGGGCAAATTAAGTATAGAAGTATTTCAAAATTAGAATGCTTTCCAAAGAAACAGTTGCATGCAATTATAGGTCAAATTCACAAAATCAGAGAATGGTTTGGGTTGGAAGGGATGTCAAAGCTCATTCCAACCCCTACCATGGGCAGGGACACCTTCCACTAGACCAGATTACTCCAAGTGCTGTCCAACCTGGCCTTGGACCCTTCCAGAGACGGGGCAGCCACAGGGACCTTGGTTATATGGCATTCGTGTGCTTTGATGTGTCAAAGTCCCTGCTGAGGGAGGAATGGCTGCACGTACCATCAGCAGAGGCAGGAGTCAGGGGGATGTACTCTGTCGATGTCTGGCTGGTCAGGGACACCCTGGCTCCAGTCAGGTCAATTTTGGTGCTCCGGCAGGTGTTGGAACAGACCTTTGTGTGCTGGTAGAAATCCAGCTCTCCTGAGTCCATAATCTTCCTGAAAGACAGGGATCAAGGACAAGGACAGGCACATCAGCAACAGCTAAGAGCTCCGAGATGCAGCTCCTGGCAGCCTTCACTCCTAACTTCTCATTCCCAAAACGCCAGGAGAGCAGACAGAGCCAGCAGAAGCCCTTACTGAGCCTGATTAACTCATTTATTGAGCAAGAAAGGGGAAGAGAGAGCCCCTCTCTAGTCCCACCAGCACATCCCCTCTGAAGCTGCAGCTTCCAGTCAAAGGGCCAGCTGGAGTCTCAGTTCAGGGTGAGACCACAGGGAGCTTCTTTCTTGCCTTTTTGACTCTACAGCTCAAAAGGAGACAGGATATAACCCTACTTATAAACTAAAATCAGGTCTCATATCTCATTCAAAAAGAGTGGCAAGACTAGACACAGGATCTCCAATCCAAGAACATTACCTTCAAAATATTCCCAGGCCTTGCTGGCCAACAACCACCTAAGCTTCCCGAGATCTGCTCCCATGGGCTGCTGGGTTTGCATTCAGACATTTCCCTGAAGTTTATTTTCCCCTCTCAAAGCCCTGCCTTGACAAAGCCTAAACCTATTATGCAAAATTTATGTGGAGCAAAAGCTGCTTAAAAAGAATACGAGAGATGCCTGCATTGAAGCAGAAGAATACAGGGAAAGGCAATGTCACCCTGTGAAAAGAGTACAAAAACACTGACAATTCCTGGGGAAAGAGGTGATTCTTTTTTATCCTGCCCAAAGGCAGAGAAAGACTTTAATTAAATCACAGTTTCAGGCTGGTGTTCAGGAGGACCATAGAGGAATTGAATTACTGTAGTTAATACTAGAGAAGAGAAATGCTTGTAATAAACAAGATTTTTTTTTTTCTTTGCCAGGACTTATTTAGAAGTGACGTCAAGCAGGAGTGCTGCAACCAGAGCCTCAGAGCATTGGTGATGACCAGACATGATTTCATTTGGTGGGTCACACTGAGAATCCACAGACAGCATGGCCCAACCACCAATAGCCCTTAAAATTTCCAGTGTCCCCACACCAGTTGGAAACTCAGTGTGGTCCAAACCCTGAAAAGACTAGAGAAATATTTCTTGCCCCAAATTATTCCCTAGGCACAAGGACAGAACAAAGCCATTGGATCGACCACATTTGGGACCAGGCTGTCATTAAGACAAACGTTTAGTGGTTCATTTTCTCCCTCAGCAGCAAAACTGCCATTCCAAAGGTTCTGTTCCACCCCACCACAATCCCCCAGGAAGAAGTGTCCAGAGATACCAGGGAAGGGACTAACCGGAGCATGATCCCGTTCATCCGGATCGCCCGCTTCCAATCCTTCAAGGTCGACTTCCCTGCCAGGTGGACAAACTCCTTGGGGCTGATTAGGTGATCATGAAACTGCAAAAGCCAGGGGTGCAACATCAGTGCCACAAGCCATAAACAAGCCAAGGGTGCCCTGTGAGCAGGGTTCAGCTGGAGCCTGGCAGTGTCTCACAGTGCCCAGCAGCCCCCACGTGCCACTGAACACCACCAAAACAGCTGGGTGCCAGGCACTCCCCACCACAGACAACACTGCCCAAGTCAGGAAGATTAAAGCCAAACATTGCTGTCATGGATGAGTAGTTAACAGCTGTTCCAAGCCAAGGGTTCAGGGGTATGTGAGTTTGCCCAGCTCAGGCAGGACAGCTGGGAAAATAACCATAGCTTGTGCAAAGTACCATTAACATCAGGGAGCCACTCACACTCCCACTAACAATGGAGCCAGTGAAAGCTGGGCTGCACTACTAACATTTGGGTCCAGGGGCATGTTATGGCCCATAGGAAAGAGAAGAAGCCCATTTGGTCTTTGACCTCCTGCCCCTGAGCCCAACCATTGGTATCAGGGAACCTCTGGCCTCTCTGGCAGCGCACACCCACTGCTGCTGCAAACCAGCTTCAGGGAGCTGGCACACACCGTGCCAACCTGTCCCTTTCTTTTATTGCCCTACACACCCAGCCGTGCCTGAACTCACATGATGATCTAACAGCAACCTGCATGATCATAGAATTATAGAATCACTAGGGGTGATCAAAATCCTCGAGTCCAACCATGACCCAGGCAGTCCTCTGAAGAGCTGCCTTACAGCCCATCTCAAAGAACTTCCCAAATTCAGGCCTTTTCTTTTCCATGGCCATGTTGAGCAACATAGAGCAATTCACTGTTACTGCATGAGAAACTGCATCTCTGAACAAGAACAAGGGCTTCAGTGCAGAGAGGACAGATTTTAGGGGGCAGCAGCATCTATCCTCTGCCTCGTGGACCATCTGTGCTGGGAAGGGCAAAGATTATCCTTTGGGAGCCCAAGGAGACTCTCCCTCAGCAGGGTATTGTTTAGGCTGTGTACAAATGCCAGCAATGACTCACTCGTGGCATGCTCCTGCATTCATGTAAATTTTAACCATGAGTTACCCAGGACACAGCAGCAACTCTTCAGTAGGTTCCCCATCAATACATTCCTCAAACTATCAACTTTCCAACTGAGCTGAGACTCCAAGTGCCCACACTTCTCAAATTTTCAGCAACATATTAAAGCGAGGCACCATCTCTCCAGTCAGAACTACACAATTTAGTTAGGACAAATATGAGGTACCTAGCACCAGGAAAATGTCACCCTTTCCTACCATGACATGGTTCTGATGCAAAGCAGCTGATCAAAGCTCATCACAACTAGGACAAGCCAGGTGACTCACAATGTGGGAAAGGGGAAAGCACAAGCCCAGTGCTGGGCTCTCTGTTCTCACCTGCACACACTTCACATTGATCCCAGGGCACACAAACTTCCTCCAGATGAGGTTGGCTTTGCTGTCCCCGCAGGTGATGGGGTAGACAATCTCTGCCTCCAAACTGTCCTCATCTTCAGCCATCTTCACTTCTCACAGGGATCAGAGGAAGGGACAGATCAAAGAGAAACATGAGCCACAGCTCCTGATTCACGTGCCTGAGCCACACATGCAATGACAGTTTTGAAACTCAGATGTTTAAAAAAAAAAAAAACTATATGATGCACGGTGAGGTGGGCTGGGATTTGTGGCCGCCACTCACTTGCACTTTGCTACAAAAGCATCCAAAAATCCAAATTACTCAGGCAAAACAGCCCAGGCAGATTCATGCCAATCCAGCTGCAGTTGAGCACAGGGAATATGAGGAGTCATCCATTCTTGATAAAAAAGAATTATCTGGGTGGAGTCACCCTTGGTTTTAAAGTAATACTGGTTTTAAGTCAACTCTAGCCCAGCTGATCAGCCTTTATTCCCTAAACTCACTTTTACTTACAACGAAAGCCAGCAAGTTGCTGCAAAACACCCATCCTCGTGGCAAGCTGGAATGGCAGGAGCCAGGGATGGCCGGACACAGGGACTCATCTCGGACCAGGAGAGGGCAGCAGCAGCCCGGCCAGCCACTGCCAGCTCCCTGCTGGTCACCGAGCCCCCTGGCTGCTGGGACAGCGTCCCCAAGGCTCACAAGAAAACACCCCCGGGAACCCCAGCAACTCTGCACAACAGTGCTTGGGCTGTCTGGCAGTGCAGGGCTGCGACACACTGGGGTGGTAGAGCTGGCACCAAGGGGCTATGGAAAGAGCTTGACCTACCTAGAACTGCTTCCTTCAGGTCTGTGGAGGCTGTGAAGGCAGCAGCAGCTGCAGCAGCTGCATTTTCAGTCTCCAGAGTGTCTTCGTTGATGTCACCGCTGGGAAGAGAGGCAGAGACATTCTTAAGTCATGTGGCTGTGCCACCCCCACACCCGATGCCCTGTGGAGACATTGCCTCAGAAGTCCCTCGGACCACATTCTCCCACAAGAGCTAAGAGTCAGCTCTGGGTTTGGGAGGCTCAGCTCCATTTTTTCACGTGGAGATGAAGAACCCCACAGCAGGCAAGCCCCTGTCAGCAGCCTGGCCAGCTCTCTCTTGCCTCCCTTTTAATCCCAGCCCTGTGGATCTGCCTCCAGCCCAGCCCATGCTGGAGAGCTGGCATGGAGAGATGCTGACAGCACAGCCCCTTGCTCAGAAGTCACTGCCAGCCTTTGGAAGCTTTGCCTGAGATTTCCTCAGGAAAAACATGTGTGAAACATGCTGCTGCTGTCTGGGCAATGGACTGGCTGAATCTCCTGGTATGCAGGATGCTCCAGGGAGCAGGACCTCAAGGAGCCACAGAAACACTATAAAGGAGCTGGGCAAACCCCAAGAGCAGATTTGTGAGCAGAGATAACATAACATGAGCTATAAACACTTGCAATACAATCTCTGAGCCTCTTACAACTCGATATATCTATGATACTCATTAATAGCTGGTTATCCAACTGATTCCATTGTCCCCACACTGAGATCTCCATCTTCTCTGGGTGCTTTGTCCAAGGAATCACACACAGTGGGTCTTGCACAGTACCCACTCCCTTGCTGTTCTCCCATCCCAGCTCTGCCATGGCAATACAGAGCCCCAGTCCCTTCCAAGGAGCTGCCCACACTCAGAGGGAAGAGGCATTTCTGGCTGGGATGTGGGACATGCCCCTCACCCCCTTGGCTTTGGAGGTGAGGTCCCAAAGGGAGAGAGCCCACATTGGTGCCCTTATGGATCCCACCTGTACATCACAGCCAGCACTCAGCAGGGACCACGCCTAATGGCTTTTCATAGAAACACTGAATGGTTTGGGCTGAAAGGGCCCTTAAAACTCATCTTGTTCCAAGCCCCTCCCATGGGCAGGGACACCTTCCACTATCCCAGGCTGCTCCAAGCCCCGTCCAACCTGGCCTTGAACGATTCCAGGGATCAGGCACACACAGCTTCTCTGGGCACCCTGTGCCAGGGCCTCAGCACCCTCACAGGGAACAGTTTCTTCCTAATATCTAATCTAAGTCTACCCTCCTTTTGAGATGTATGTTTGGTGGTGCTACTGAAGCTGACTAATTGCTGCAGAAAACTTGACCTGCAGGGGCAGGGGGAGGAATACAATTAGCTTTTCACATACTTTGGCATATAAACTCCCTAGGAAGACTCCATAAAGAAAATAAATCTGAAACCTCCCTCAGTTTGGTACCATTGATTAAATTAAAAGATAGTCCTAGTGACTCACTGGCAACCACATTTCTCACCAGCAATGCCACTGGGACAAGGAAATTCAAGAGCAACTGGTTTTTCTGTTCTGGGCTCCTAACACACAGCTCCAGGGTGGAACTGCAGCTTCAAAGCATCCCTCCCCTCGGCAGCTGCAGGGCAGGTACCTGTGGGGAGCAGCACAGAGATAAGGAATGGTGTGGGTGGCAGCTCAGCCTCACCAGGCTCAGAGATGCTGCTCCAGAGAGAGAGGAGACATCTCCTGCTGTGATATAAAGAAGATGGACACAACTCTGCCTCTGTAGCTCACAGCCCTTGGCAGAGCATGGGGAGGATAACGTGAAAGGACTCAAAAAGGTAAACTCTGAGCTAAGGCATTTGCACACAGGTGATTATTACACAAGTGGTAGTCTGACAGAACAGAAGAATTCTACCCTGGGGTTTTTCATCAGTTTGCTGCTGGGTTCTTGCATTTCTCAAAGTGAAAGGCCAGCAGTGGCACCTCAGCAGGGTGCCAGAGGAAGCAGCCCCCTCTGGCATGCAAAGCCCAGCACCTCACAGCCCTGACCTGCCTCCAGATCAAGAACCTTCACCAACTTACCCAGAAGAAAAGTCAGCACCTTTCAGAGCTTCCTCCAGGACTCCATCACATTTGCACTGCTCCAAAAAATGACTGAAAGGCGCAACTGCATTGGGAGGAATAACCCAGTCCACGCCTTAAACCTCCAGAGGAAAACAACCAAACCAACTCCCAGCTTGTATGAAAAATTCAGGCAACTGAAGTCTGCATCTGTTGTGGACACGTGGGGGGGAGAAAACCACAAAAAAAGGCGAGTGTCTCCACACTGTTTCTCCCATCCCGTTCCAGGGAAACAGACTGAGGCAGATGCAAGAGAAAACACAAACACCTTCCAAGTCCCAGCAGTGCAGCCCCCCAGCTAGTCCTGCCTTTGCCAGTTGCCATGACGAAGGCAGGGGAGGATGGTTCTCATCTTCCTCCCCAGGAGGATCCATAAACCAGATGGGAGGAAGAGAAGAAAGCATGTGCAGATAACTCAGCGGGCTGGCGTCTCCTTTCTTTTCTGCTCCTGCCTTGTCTGGAAACTTGAGAGTGAAAAGTCTCCCCCAGAATCCTGTGCTGATCAGAAATGCAAGAACCTCATCAGAGCTCCAAGCACAAATCCTCTCCTCTCACAGACCAAAGAGAAAAGCTTCTTGCTCATTATTATTTTCCCATTTCCTTCAGCTTTTTCCTTAAGAACACGAGCTAATTAAGCTCTTAACAATTGGTTGTATAGAGGGTTTTTTTAATAGCAAACCCACACCCAGATGAGCACTAGAAAAAGGCACCAACCCCCAAGCTGAGTTTGGTTTAAGTGTCACACAAGGCAAACTGAAAGCTCCCCGTGTGAGTGGTAACCGAGCCAACACCAAGGGATCCCAGCCCGTGCCTGCAGCTGCTCTCCTGACACCAGCTGGGCTGCAGAAGGAAACCAGAGGGAAAGGGAGGAGCCAGCACCACTGTGGCATTGCCCCAGAAGGAGCAGAGCCTGGTGGGGGCCACTGACTAAGGCCACAGAGAGACCACGGGTGGCTCACCCCACTGCCATGCTCAATGAGTCATGCAGGTTTTACTCTGTGATCCCAAAAGTCACGTCCTTTCCATTAACCCACTACCATCCCCAAGAATGGGAGAGGCAAAGAGCCTGTCCAGAGGCTTTTCTCCAGAGAGATGCATGGAAAATCCTCAGGGAATATATGCCAAGAAATATCTGCTCACAGCTGTGACTAAATGAAAGCGTTCCTCTCTGTGCTGTGTAGAGCTGTCCCGTCCCTGACCATCCAGGGGACACTGGCAGGGTGAGAAAAGGTTTCCAAAGAAAAACAGGAAGGGACCTAAGAGTCAAAGGAAACCAACTGATTGAGCCAGCCTCTGCCAGGATCCATTTTTCCAGACAACATCACAATGCTGCATGTGGCTCAGAGCCACATTACAACCAGGAACCATTCTGCAGCCACGTCTGGCTGCTTCTCCACAGAGACAAGGCAGTCTCCATGGGACAGAAAACAAGAGGAGTAGAGCCCTTCTTCCCCACCATCAGTGCACTTCTGGGAATTGAAAAGGTCTTGGAAACACTCACACACCCAGCAGAGCAGGGCAGATCCTGCCCATCCCAGCACCAACAGCTCTCACCTCTGCCTGTCCCTGCCCATTATTTACCAAAATCTCTATTAATGGGCTTTATCTCAGTTGGAGCAGCACAAGGGGAGGCACCTAGACTGGAACAAACGCTGTCGCCTTCTGCCCTGCCCAAAGCCCCAGGGCACTGACACAAAGACACGTTTGAGAAAAGAAGACAAACATCTTATGGAGAGCAATAAACAGCCATTCAACACCCACTTATTTCAGACAAGCCTGCCTGGATGCAGCTCCAGGTGTGAACTTGGATTTTCTGCCCAGTGAAAGAGCAAAGCACAAAACTGTCTCTGGGCTTTGTCCCACCCAAAAAAACATAGAAAAATAAAGCAGAGTCCACTACTGTGTGGGCTTTCAAGGGACCAGCCAGGCTCTTTGGCCATGGCCAACCTGCCAATGAACAGACTAGACCTGAACAAGCAGCAGCCTTGAATATAAAATGCCAACAAAACAGGCAGAAATTGGGCAAAACAGCAGCACTTTAACAAGCAGACCCTCACTGGGCTTTTGAGCAGCGCCTCTCCATTCAGACACTGTTTCAAGGACACCTCTCTCATTCCTATTGCTGGCAGTGGAGGATCCTGCAGAGCTCAGCCAAAAACCAGCCAGCCCCAAACCTCCTCAACCTTAAGGGAAGGGGAGCTCAGCTGCACCACCCTCAATCTGGTGAGGACAGACTTGTCTCTTGGAGTTGAGTTCAGAGTTCAGCACAGCCATCATGAAATAAACAGCAGAAAAACATCGATTTAGCCACTGGTGTCCTGTTCCAACAGGATTTGTGTTCACTCCAACATCCAAATCCACTCAGAAAAATTAATTTGGGGTTGGTCTTTTTTCCCCCCCTCTCCAAAAGAGGGAAAGAGAGGAGCCTGTTCTGCACAGAGCTGCAGAGCCCTGGGTATAGGAAGCCCTACCAAGGAACTGGATGCTCCATGGCCACCACTGAGGTCTCCACAGTGAGCAGGGATGCAGGAGGAAGCAGTGGGGGATCAAATCCCAACCTATAGCCATGCATGGGACGGTTTCCAGCACATCCCCTCAGTATCAACCCCATCTCTTACCCATGCTGGGACAGGTTGGTGGTGACCAGCACTGTCTTCACCTCCTCCATGCCACTGCCATCCACGGCGCCGTCCGGCGTGGTCACCACCACCACCTCCTCCATGTGGACACTGACGTCCGGCGTGGCCATCGTGGCACGAGCAGGAGAGCTGTCGGTCACCAGCTGCTCGTGGAGAAATGGGGAGAAGCCCAGAGTCAAAAAGTCTCCTTCTTGCTCAATTCGGTCATGGAAGGATCCTGGGTGTGGTAGGAGCAAAGAGAGAAGGGACTGCAGGGACCCCACACTCCTAGGGAGAAGGGGATGAGCAAATCCTCAAGTGCTCCATCCCAGGAGGAAGGATGAGGGAAGCTCAACACGCTCTGCAGGATGGGTGAGAATGATGGGCATGGGTGGGACCGAGGTGCAGGAGGTGAAGGGCAGAGTGTGAAGTGGTTAAAAAAAAAAAAAAAATTGTTCCTGGCATCCACCATAAACTCTATGAAGATACTCAGTTTGAAGGTGTGTTTCTAAATGTATTTCAAACTATCTCACGATTTCACACTGTTGGAGGAGCTTGTCACTGTCTCCTCCACATTAAAACAGGGATTCTTCCCTCCTCCAAAGTCACATACACACACAAAAAAATCAAATTAAAAAAGCACATCAAGCCTGCAGAAACAGTGACATCTGGAAACTATTTCAAAGTGTGCATTTCTAATAAATCAGCAATAGATGTAAGACAGCACTCCCTCTCCAGCTCTCTTGGAGCCCCTTTAGGAACTGAAAGGGACTCTCAGGTCTCCTCAGAGCCCTCTTTTCTCCAGCTCTCTCAGCCTATTTCCACAGCAGAAGTGGTCCAGCCCTCAGAACATCTCCATGGCCTCCTCTGGACTCGCTCCAGCAGCTCCACATCCTTCTGATGCTGGGGGCCCCAGAGCTGGATGCAGCACTGCAGGTGGAGTCTCACCTGAGGAGAGCAGAGGGAGAGAATCCCCTCCCTTGCCCTGCTGCCCACAATGCCAGGGATCAGCCCATGCCCAGGTATGGAGAAGTTGGTGCCTACAAAGCATCTCCTACAGCTCTGGTTCAGGCCACACAGAGACAGGTAAGGGAACACCTTGTCCAGGTCTGGCTGTTCCAGGCTCAGACCCCCATGGAGTACTCCAAGCAGTGGCACAGAGCACAGCAGAGATGCCACCTGGCTCCCACCACTTCCCCAGGCCATGACTGGAGCAGAGCACTGACCCAGCATGTCCAGTGTGACTTCACACTCAAGTTCAGGCCCTGCAGAAACACCTGCCTGAGCCACAGGGACACCACGAGGTGCTCTTTACCTCCACAGAGCCCACAGGGTTTGTCCAAGGGGGAATGGCCCCTCTGTGCCAGCCCAGCACAAAGCACTTCAGCTTTCACAGCAGCACAGATGCTCAGCTGCCTCCAGCTCAACCACTCCAATTTTTGTTGTCACTCTATCCTTACCCTTGTCCTTCATCTTGGGGTAAAACCCCTCCCACAGTATTAGCATTGCTCACAGCACCCCCGAGCTGAGAACCAGTTTCAGGATACTCCAGACATCCTGCCCAGCATCACGGGATTGAACTCCACGTTACTCAGATGCCTCTGGGCAGGAATCAGCATTGAATGGATAAAAAGTGGGCTGAAAACAAAAGTAATCTAAAATGTGGCTAAAACCACACCAGCAGTGGGGCTGTGGAGAGGGACAAGGGGCACCCCAGCTCTACCAGGACTCAGGGTGTCCATGCACGTCCCTCCTGGCGCACCTTGCAGGGTGCTGAGACCGTGTCAAGGGCTGTGGGAAAGATGTGAAGTGAGGAAAAGAAATATAAATGGGAAAAAAAGCATAGCACAACTGGGAGAGGAGAGACATGTTTGGGGTGCAGCATCAGGAGGGCAGAGACCATGGAGATTACACTATAGACAGCCAGCAAGGCTGTACACAGGGAGAGGGGATGCATGGAGAGGTGCCTACAGGGGCTAAACAGAGGTACAGAGGGTGGGGGGGATCATGGGGGTGCAAGAGGGTGCACAGAACTACATAGAGAGAGGAGATGGAGACAGCACAGGCAGCGCGGGTGGGGGGCTACACGAAGACAAGGGGCATAGGGGGGGCTGCAGCTGCACCGGGGTGGGGGGACACATGCTGGGGACTGCATGAGTGGGGGGCTGCCCGGCAGAAAAGCAGCAAGACGATGGAGAATGGCTTCAAGAAGGCGGGGAGGAAGAAGCCGGAGTGCAGCACAGGGGGACACAGAGAGGGGGTGCCCGGGGGGGCTGCGGCTGCACGGCGGGGAGCGGTTTGCAGAGTGGGGTGCACGGGGGTGGAGGGCGCTGCACGTGGAGGCTGCCCGGGGAGGGGCTCACGGGGGTCCCCCCCGGCGCCGAGGCGGGCGGGGGGCGGGCAGGGGGTGCCCCGAGTGCCGCCGTGGTGTCCCCCCTGTCCCCCCTCGGCCCCCGGTGCGGGGTGGCGCGCGCGGAAGGGGGGGGGCTGCGGGGGTGAGAGGGGCGCGTGGGCGCGCTCCCGCTGGCAGGGAGGAGGAGGAGGAGGAGGAAGAGGAGGAGGAGGAGGCGGGGGGGCCGCGGGGCGGGCGGGCGGCCGGGCGCTGCCGCCGCCGCCGTAACGTCCTGACGCTCCGCAGGGACCCGGGCGGCGCGTGCGGCGGAGGCCCCGCGGCGGGCGAGGCCGCGCCCGGCGCTTACCTCGGGCCGGGGTCCCGCGGGCCCCGCTCGGGCTGCGGCGGCGGGCGCTGGGGCCGGGCGGCGGTGGGCGCGGGCAGGGCGGCAGCGGGGCCGGGGGGGGAGCGGGGCTCCGCCGCGCGGCTCTCGGGCCCCGCGCAGGCGCACGGCCCGCACCGGCTACCGAGACTAATTTGGCGCGGGCGCCGCGGCCCGCGCTCCCCGTGAAATAGGGACCGGGCGGGCGCTCTGCGCCTGCGCCGCCGCCGGGCGGGGGTGGGAGGGGGCGCGGCGCGCGCCGCCGGGGGGTCCCCGCGCGCGGGGTCCTGCGGGGGAATCCCCCCCTGTGTCCCCCCCCTCCCCGTGACCCCCCTGTGTCTCCTGTACCCCTCGTACCCCCCCCAGTCTGTCCGCGACCCGAGCCCTGCGTGTCACCCCCTGGTTCCTGCTGCCCCCCGGTCCCCTGTGCGTGTCCCCTGTGCCCCGCGCACCGCCCCCCATGTGTCCTGTCTGCCCCCTCACCGTGTACCCTGCGTCTTCCTTTGGAGTCCTGCGTGCCCCCCGTGTCCCCTGTGTGTCACCCTCCAGGCTTCTGCAAGGCCCCCCGTGTCTCACTGTATGTCCCCCCGGGCTGTGTTCCCCACGCCCGACCATGCTTCCTTGTGTACCCCCCACGTCCCCTGCGTGTCCCCAGCTGGGGTTCTGCAGGACATCTTTTCTCCTGCATGCCCCTTTCCCACGTCCTGCATGCTCCCTTTTCCAGGTCCTGCATGCCTTCCATGTCCTCTTTGTGTGTCCCCTGTGTCCCCCTCCTCAGTCCTCTGTGTCCCCCATGTCCCCTGTGTATCCTTTTCCCAGGTTCTGCATCCCTCCCGTGCACCCTGCATGTGCCCCCGGTGTGTGTCCCCCAAGCCCTGTGTCCCCCAAGAACCTCTGGCTCTCCAGGGTTTTGTGAAAGCCCTCAGCTGTTCATGCCTGAACACTTCTTGAATGCTTCCAGGGATCCAGGGGCAGCCACAGTTTCTTTGGGCACCCTGTGCCAGGGCCTCACCACCCTTACGGGGAACAATTTCTTTCCAATACCCCATCTAACCCCGCCCTCAGTCAGTGTGAAGCCATTCCCCTTGCTCTGTCACTCCAGGCCCTTGCCCAAAGTCTCTCTCCTTCTCTCTTGGAGCCCCTTTAGGCGCTGGAAGGGTCTCCCCAAGGCCATTTCTATCATTTAAAAAGTTTGATTCAGGGCCTGTTTTCTTGTTTGAGCCATCCTCAAAGTGCTGCTGGTCCTTACCAGCACTAAGTCTTGAGCTGTGACTCTGCTCTCAGTGTTTCCCCAGCCACCACAAGTTGTCACAGGTTTTGGTTAATTTCTGCTGTTTCTGTGCCTGTGAAGCCCAGCGTTTGGGAGGCACTCAAGAATTTCTCACGCAGGACTTCTTGCATGATTTTACCACATTGCACTTCTGTGAGTAGGTGGTTAACACGTTTTGGGAAGGGATGAGCGAGGCCAGAGGCCCCAAAAGTCATGAATCCTTTTTGGAAACACTCGCTATGTTTCCATTCTGTCAGCTTTTCACAGCTACTGGGTGGGTGGCTTTTCCTGACAGGTGTTCAGGTGGCGTTTGGTCTGTTTGGTGTTTTTTTACACAAATTTCTAATGATCCATTTGTCTGATACATTTCTGGTGGTTTATTTAATGTTTTTTTTCCCCCCAAGGCTCTTCCTTTTTTTTTTTTTTTTTTTTTTTGTCCCTATGCAAACCAACCCTGCCTGATAAGCAGCTGCCACCCCTATTTCCCTCCTGTTCCCCCTCACCAGTTGACCCAAGCTAATTCCATTAAAGTGATATTCCACGAGGAATTGTATTTCTTTCCCTTCTCCAAAATAACCAGCAAGGTGAAATTACCCACTGGAAATGGATAATTTCATGCTCCCTTTTCCATGGAAGCAAGTCTGTCTCTCTACCAGTGCCACTGCTGGTGTCTTCCCAGGCAGCTGCATCCTCAGGACCCTGGTGGGGTTGGACAGGACAGATAAAACGTCCCTTTTTCCACTAAAACCATCTCCCTACAGTGCTCAAGAACAGAGGCCTTATCAAGGTGGTAAGAAGGCAGCAAACCCCCAGTAATGCTGCCCTGCTCCAGTTTCTCCAGCAGTCAGTGGCCCCTTGGAAAGCAAAACCTAGCTTTTGCTGTCAGATCCCAGGCCACAGGAAGGTTCCTGGGCTCCTCCTAGCACAGAGAGTGGGATAATTTCACCTCCTGGCACCTAATGTGCTCCCTGCTCTGCCCCTTTATCAGTGGGCAGAATTGCTCCAGCCACAGTGCCAGTGAGGCTGCTGAAACAGGGTGAGCTGTTTTTTTTCAAACCAAACCACTCAGCAAAACTTCTGCATTTTGCCTGCCCAGATGAGCCTTTGCATTTACCTTGGCAGAGTCTCTGATCCCTTCCCTTACTCAGGTACAGCTCAAGCACTTTGTAGGGATCTCTTCAAGAGTTACCTAGGTATTTTGCTTTCTTGACTTGGTTTTGATTTTTTGCACAAGGAACTCTTGACATGGCATGGAGTGGCAGGACAAGGGGCAC